AAAAAAAAATCCCAAACACAAAAACCTTTCCATCCTGTAAAGTTGTTGTCAGGAGGCACCTGGCTTCTATTTACGATCCTCAAGGACACGGATGGGTAAGTCCACCTTCTAGTCCCAAACAATTTGACTCAAATTTAAAAAAGAAAAAAGGTCAAAATGGGGAGAAATTAAGACAATTAATTCCTGCCTCAAAGGTAAGCGAGCGTGGTGTGAGTGCAGCATCTGTATACGCAATAAACAACTGAGCAAAAGGGATTGCATTCATCCAGGTGCCTCCTGACAGTGTTGGTGAACAGGCTAAAAGGGAATTTAAAAAGAGTACGGTTTTTGATTTGTCTCACTCCTTTTGCCTGTAGATCAGGCCAAACATCAAGCATGTTGGGAGGGGCACAATTTAAAGCAACACTACTTGACCAGAAAGCACTTTTCAGCAATATACAATGCAAAATGACAGACAGCAATTCATGCCAAAACAGAAGAGATGGCAAGCAGCTTTCTGCAGCTTCTGACATTAACAGGGGTTTACCCTTACCTGCTTACAAGTCTGGACAGAGGCTGCTCTGGGCAGAAAATGCACAATGCTGCAGGAAGTAAATCAATCCCACAAAGCTCCAGAACTGTCAGTTTATGCATGTAAAGTGGTTTTCTACGATTTCTCTTAAACCCAAATCCACGCCTTATGCATAGACTGCTCAGCAACACTGACACCCGCTGGATTTCCCTCACGCCGTGGTGGAACACGGGTCATGGCCCCCTTCAGAGCTTGTCAAGTTCCTGAAGTTTCTACGGGGGAAATCGAAGAGCATCTCCCAATAGGCCGAGCTACAGATTTTGAGGCCTCGCGGCCCCACAAGCGACCTCTTCCGTACGAGCGGTACAGGACAGTGTTGCTAGCACCAGAGCAAACCCACCCTGACAAGGGACACTTGTTGAGGCCCGCTCTTCACGGAGGTCAGAGCACTTCTCATCGTTTAGTGTTGCAGAAAACTGAGCCCCTCTCATCTTTAGCTGCTCCCATAATCAGTCTAATCCCTTTAACCCCAGCAACCTTCATCACAAAAGAAAAAGTTATATATGAACCCAAACAGGAAAAAAAAAAATATTTACAAAGTTTGTACAATATACACATCTGATTTTCTATGGGACACACTGCACCAGAGGAAAGAGGGCCATGGCTCTGAAAGAAGTCTACGTATCAAGTGCTGTAACTACTAATGGAGACTCTTATGGAAACCAGTCTTTAGTGTTCTGCTAGAGCATAGGGCTTTTCTTACGGCTCCTGCAAAGGATGACAGGCTACTCTTTCCTTCTGGAGCTATGATACTGCACCTAATCAGCCCAGATTTTAAGTTGGTTTCATTTTAAATACAGGTATTTACAGTGTGGGTGAACTGCAGATGCATATCAACTCCTCCAATTAAAAAAAAAAAAAAAAAGTTGAAGAAAAAAAGTAGTATTACCAATACATTTCACCTCCCAGCCCTGGGCTTGAGTACTTGGGGAGGAGGACAGGGGGAAGAGAGGGGAACTTTGACCTGAAACCAAAAACAGCTGTTGATTCCTTGGGCTGTCGGAAAGGTGATGTTCTGAATGGTCTCATAGCATAAGGCACTTTGCACGAATAAGTAACAAGCTCTTTAGCTTAAAAACAGATGAGTAACCAGGGAGAAGTTGAAATGCACTCAGTCGACGGTTGAAGAATTTGAAATCGCAGACAAGCTCGTGTTCATCAAGATTCTTCTCTTTTCAGGGTTTCTCTTCTTCCCTTGCTGCCCCCTCCCACCCAAAGAAAAAAAAAAATTTAAAACCAGCAGTTAGTGCAACTAATGTTCAATCAGCACACAGTGCAAACAAGTGGAAAAACAAAAAGACATTCCTCCTTTTATCTTCTTTCTTTCTTGCTGCCAAATTTAAAAAGAAAAAAAGGCCGAGCTCTTTAGTCTTCATAGTTCCGAAATGAAAAGACGAAGAAAAACCCACAAAGAGAAGGGTATCCCCAAAGAAACGATGTGTCACAGATCTGGATCAAAGGGCTTCACCTTCTGGCATGTGTAATCAAAGCCTGAAAAAAACCAAACCAGAAGAACAACCACAACACCCACAGTTAAATCAATTCTATGCAAAACCAGAATGTAAGTAATGAATCACACTATGTAGCAGCTCTGGAAAAGCAAAGGGCATTTGGAACAGCTCAACCTCAACCACAGCTTCACAGAAAGAGGTGCTGCTAATGCCCTACCATACCTACGGAGCACGACTACCCAATGGGTTCCTGTCCTTCAGGAAGTGGCAAACGGTTCTCGGGCAAGGTCACAGCATTCCCTTTAAGGAAGCCACCCGAGAGCCTTTGCCAAGTCCACCACCTGGGGTTTTTTTAATTTATTTATAAAACATGGAGAAATCTCAGCCAGCAAAGCAGAGGCTGCAAGTCAGCTTGGTGTGACAGGCCAGGGCTATCCTTGAATGATTTCAAAGAAGGGATATAGGTTAATTTTAACGCTATCTAGCAGTCTGCTTCTATGGCCGCTTTTTTTTTTTTTTTCTTTTTCTTTTCCTGTCACCCAAGAAGAATTTCAGCAGCTTCATCGGGATTCTCTTTCTAATTCACTATCTCCAGGAAAAGTACACAAAAGAATGATTTCCAACCCAAGCTGTACAGTGCCTGATCTCGCGCGATACTGCATCTTAACTAAAACCAGATCAAACATCATCCTGTAGCTATTTTGCTTGACTGCAATCCAGGGCGAGTTTTCTTCTATATGAGAGGACTCGACTCAGCAGTTTTTCCTCAGACAGCGATCAGAGAAAAGGCACACTTGGGAGTCTCCGACAGTGAAACCTCATTTTCTTTTAAAGCTATGTAGACGACCTCGAGTGGCAGCAAAGCCGAATTACAGCTTTGCTACCTACTTCGTTTACTTGCAAGAGGTCTATGAACCAAAGGATTCCAAAGATGCAGCACCTTTAGCTTGAACCTCTTCCTTCTAACTGGTGAGGTGCTTAGGCTCTTTTGTCGGTGCTCTGCTCTCAAAGATATCCATTTTCTCTCCTCCTCTTTTTGAGGAACCACCTTCCTCTCTGCCCCTCACCAATTTCTCATTTTAGCTGAGCAATATAGAAAGAATTCCTTAGGCTACCAGGAGCCATCCTGGCCTCACCAAACACCATTCCCCGCTCCCTCTTTTTTGGTCTCCTTAGCATATGGTCAGCATTTCAATTCAAACAACCCAAAATTACTCATCCTCCCCTCCCAGCTTCAGCACGTCCACAGAATTCCTTGCACCGACAGTCTATTTCAAACCCTTGTTTTCACATTCAGCCTCTTCAGCACATCAGTTTCCCTCTTCCCCTGCAGTAACATTCACACATCAGCTCTTCTTTCACCCAACGCAACTTCTCTATTCAGGAAGGCATTTACATACGCACATGTTTACTGTTTCTCATCTTCTACAGGTTCACTGTGGTATTCTGCCACATACAGGCTCTTGTCGATGTTGCTGGGTATGGGTTTAATTTCAGTTCCCAACTGCTCCTCGATACTTTTCAGGTTGAATCGATCGTCATAGGTGATCAAGTTGATGGCCAGGCCAAGATGACCAAAGCGACCTTGACAAAAAAAAAAAAAAAAAAAAAAAAAAAAAAAAAAAAAGAAAAAAAAAAAAAAAAAAAGACCAAACTGAGTAATAGAAGGCTGATTGAAAAAGTCTGCACACTGCAGAGTTATTAACGTCGCTCTCTGATGATAAAAAGCAAATCTAAGGTCTCTACAACTTTCCCATCGGTTTTTGGTATGGAGTTTCATACCGCTATAAGAAGAAAACCAAGGAGGTTCAAAATGCTCTGACCAAACCTCCTCATTAATTACCAACGAAAAGTCCTCCACTGCTGCACTATGCACGTCCAGCCCTTCTTCAGTAACAGAGTTCCTGAACAAGCCTGAACTACAAAGTTCAAGTACACCGAGCTCCTTTTTTTACTGCCTTTCTTAAGGGTATATATTTTGCCAATGCCCAGACATTAGAAACATACCTTGGAGCACACGCAGGACAAAAAACTACGCTTAAGACACCACGGAAGCTAAATTTTCAGTACAGAATTTTCCCAAACTGCAAACAGGAGTATCAGTAAGTCTCCTGAGATTAAAGCAAAACATGCTTCCTCCCCCACTAGGCTGTTCAGGCCAGCTGCAAGAGAACAGCCCTTTATTCAGATATTTGTGAGGATAACCACCTGAGACGATATCCAAAAATAATTTTGTCGGAAAAATCAAAGCCACCTAAAATAGTTCTCAGATAGAGTAATAAAAACCAGAAGCCAATTCAAGCCTAAGAAACATCACAGTCATCAGCAAAGTTGTACCTAAAGATGTTTTTCCTCTCACCTGATCTGCCAATACGATGGAGATAAGTCTCTGCCAGCTTTGGGAAATCAAAGTTTATCACCACATTCACAGCTTGGATATCAATACCTCGGGTAAACAGATCTGAAAGATGATCCAGGTCATGAAGAAAGTTAATTTCAGTGAGACCAAATGTTGACAGTATTTAGGGTGGAAAGATTAACAACGATCAACATTGGCTTGCGCTAGTTTCCAGACAGAAGCTTCCTTTGTATCAAAGACCATTTCCATACGATTCATACGGTTTCTTCTTGCTCTTCATCCATTAGAAACATAAATAATACAAGAAGAATGACCAGCACACCAGAACCGCACATCTATGCCAAAAAAGCAATTAGCACGACGCTAGTTTTTTTTCCACGTTAGACTATTTCTGAGCAGGTTGTCTTATACAAAAGCATCTCCTCGCACACAACTGGGCACTGCCAACGTCACAACAGACTTGAGGTCTGAACTACATCCCACTAGTTCAGCTATTTCTATTCCACTTCCAGCAATTTTTAAGATGACCCAGAGACACATCGTGATCAGCAGACACTGCCACGGTAGTGCCCTAACAGGCCGCACGATGGAGAACTCGGATCATATACAGGCCAATCAAAACTATAAAAATACTTAGAAAAGATGAGCTATAAACATCTAAAGAATCGGCAAAACTTACTCGGGTGATCCTAGCCCCAGTTCTACCAATATTTCGTAAAGCTTACGGCCCAACAACTCAGAGAGTGCTCACGTGTGAAAATACACAGAAAATGTAACTAGCGCAAGAAATACTAGCACAGTAAAATGATTTGTTAGCAAGTTGCACCTCCGTTGTTTGTCACTGTCCTGGTTTCGGCTGGGATAGAGTTAATTTTCTTCCTAGTAGCAGGCACAGTGCTGTCTTTTGGATTTAGTAGGAGAAGAATGTCGATAACACGCCGATGTTTTTAGTTGTTGCTAAGGACTGCTTATGGTAGTCAAGGACTTTTCAGCTTCCCATGCTC